CTGCCTCCTCTGCCAGATCTTTTAGGGCCTTCTGCAGCTTGGGGCCTCTGACTCTGAGAGTCTTAAGGAATCGCTGTGTGGAGATTCTGGTGAAGCCTCTGCAGCCAACTTCCACTGGAAAGGTATATGCTCTCCACCTTTTCCTCTCAAACGCTGCCTCCATCCCGTCTTCCCATGGCACAGTTAATTTGGCCGTGATGACAGTCTTTGTGGTGGTGGACCAGATTACAATGTCAGGTCTAAGATATATACAGTATATAGGCTGTTTATTCACAATGAACTCAATCAATAAAATATATGATTTCCTTCAAGGCTTTGTAAACATATATTTCACAGGGGTAGAATGGTATGAATAATTCACTCCGAAGTTTTCTGTTGCCCGACCAACTTGAATATTATATTAGAGACGCACCAATATTAGAAATGTAGCAATACCAATAAACTGATTTCACTCAAGTTCAAAACTATTTTGTCTAAAAAATAAATAAATGAATAAAATAAAAAATAAAACCAACCAATGTAGATGCTACATATGATTTTAGGCATCCTAATTATTATAAAGGTAGTATGAAAAATCTGCTAAAGATTAAAGATAAGGTTATAGGTTGTTTTTAAATATTAACTTTTTTAAGTTATTGACTATTGGATGACAGCAAAAAAAATTTTTTTATATTATATTGAGCAATACTTAATTTCTTTTTTGAACAGCAATATGTGACTGGAATTTAAAATGCAATAAGCTCCACTGACATACTAAGAGGTTAATAAACCAAGCATTTAAAACAGGCTTACATTTGTCAATTTCTTAAGCTCAATCTTAAAATCAGAAAACAGATCAAACAGTCATGATAAATCTCTTGACTTTAAGCTGTCACCCATATTTTTAATTCTTTAAAGTCATGATTATTGGTCTCGCCTCACAGGTCATCATCTTGAACTAGCAGATGGACGTGATCTCATTAACCGTATTAAATATTTATTTGTTTATTTTATTTATTTGTTGTATTTTTTGCTCAGATGATCCAACATAGATGTGCATGACTTTTCTGTTTTCAGAAAACACCTTCCCATAGCACCAACTCCCCATCCCACTGAGCTCATAACAAAACTTTCTCTTCAAATATCCTGCCTGAAAGGAATGCTGAGTTAGGTCTGGCCTTAGATCCTGTGAACTCCTCATCAGCAGGGTCAGTCACAGTCCAGTGCGGTTTAATGTCCATCACTTGAAAGTAGGGCTGCACGATTAATCGCATGCGATATTTAACGCGCATCTTGTCAGAAAGCCGGTTCTGTAGTCAGCGGTAAATCTCCATCACCTGCGTGCTTTCACATTGAGCAGCATTAACTACACAGAGCCGTTGTTCACTGATGAACTGCGCAAAAAATCGCGCGAATATGAACGTGGTTTTGCGCAACTCGTCAGTGAACAACGGCTCTGTGTAGTTAATGCTGCTCAGAACCGGCTTTACTGATAAGATGCGCGTTAAATATCGCATGCGATTTATCGTGCAGCCCTAATAAATTTTTTGCGCAGTTCATCAGTGAACAACGGCTCTGTGTAGTTAATGCTGCTCAATGTGAAAGCACGCAGGTGATGGAGATTTACCGCTGATAACAGAACCGGCTTTACTGACATCAGCAGGTAAATCGCGTTAAATATCGCATGCGATTAATCGTGCAGCCCTACTTGAAAGTAATGGGTTGAAGCAGTTCTTTTGCTGATCTGAGACCGGCTTTACAGTTCTGTCATGGGCATTTTTCCAGTAGCAGATTCAGAAGGAGGTTTTGACTGAGAGGCGGCATGAAGACAGAAAGCATCACCCTTCAGCTGCGGCCATAACAGTCTCTCCTGCTTTATGTAGCCCATTAAATATGATTCTTAATAAAGCTGACTATATAGCTAACTGACCAACCTACCATTAAAAATGAATGAATGGTGCCGCATGATGCAAGTAAAACTAAGGGACTGTGGGTGTTTAGGAGGAGAAAAGAGAGTATGGAGAAAGATATTTAAATGCCTCGCTAAGTGGGTTTTTTAATAGCCAGAGGCAATATTTGTCGGAGTCAGTGGGCAATATGACCATTTTATCAATTTTATTATATAAACATATTCTGAATTTGATTTGACAAAAAATTAGTTTAACAGTTCCATATTAATTCAAGTATACGGGCAAAAAAAATAAAAAAAAAATTCTACTTTCTTATAGCTCCTCCTGACAGCTCTTTTTGTAAAACTTTTTGCTGTAAATTTACAGCAAAATACTGGCAGCAGAGTTGCAAACCATTTACTGTATTTTTACAGGACTATTGTAAATAAATCACAATGTATTTTTACATAAACTGTTTTGTCTACAACAATTCATTGTTTTTTTTTAAGATGGGAATACTTGTTGATTGCTTCTATTGTCCTCATTTGTAAGTCGCTTAGGATAAAAGCGTCTGCTAAATGACTAAATGTATACTTTTATTATTTTTCATAACAGTAGTGGGCGGAAAAAGAAAATTGAAAATAAGTTTTTTTTTAATCAGCAAAAAGCAGAAAATTTACTTTTATGAACGTGACAGCTTCATTTTAAACATTCAGATATGGACATTTTTATGTCACCATGATAAATGCTATAGCACTTGCTTTGAGTGATATTTTCTATTTTTAATTTAACATTATAATAAATATTTTTAGTGTGTCTGTCAAGTTGTCCACTCTGTTATTTTGAAAGCTGACATCACTTCCTTGGAGAGAATTATAACTTGATAATATGAATGATGAACACCAGAGATGACTTTCACAGCATTGCTCTTTTTTTTTTTTGCACAATTTTGCCAGTTATCTTGAAAGCCAGTTTGCCTTTCTTGGTTCTTGAGTCATGTTCAGAGTTAACATACATAAAGGCAGGGGAAAAAAATGAGTACATATGCTTAAGTAAAGAAAGAACAGATGGTATAGGCCTATGCAATCGTTTTTGTAAAACCAGATGTCTGTTTTAATTATTCATTTTATCTAAATTTGTATAAAACTGGCTGTATAAGTATAAAATTATCTATAAGTGTCAAACAACTACACTTTTATTGAAATAAATAAGTGTATTATACTAATTTCTCTCTCAAATTAAATGTTTTTTTTTTTTGGAGAAAAATAAAATATTTGACATGTATGTGGAATATTCCTGGAATTAAACCATATTCCTTGAATTAAACTTTAAGCGAGATGGCTAACTGATAAGCTTAATTTAAAAAGCTTGTTATCTGTCACGCCCCTGGACTCTATCTGTGTGTTTTTCCTCCCCCACGTGCTCCATGACCCAGTTTTCTCCCATGTTAATGGTTTCATTAGTTCCAGGTGTTTCTCGTCATCCCCTCCTCTAGTCCTTTGTATTTAAAGTGAGTCCTATTCAGAGTTCCATTGTCTGGTATTGAATGTCATCTTTCCCCGCTACGTGTGTGTTCCTGGTTCCTTTGATGTCAATTAAAGTCTCTTTGTTTGAAGTTTACTCCTCGTCTCCTCGTTCCTCGCTCCGTGCTCCTCACAGTAGCGCAACGTGACAGAATACCAGACCAAAAACAGTTATTTCTGTGTGTTCCCTCCGTTTTTTAGTTTTCGTTTTACCCAGTGTTTTTTGTTTCCGTTGTGCCCATGGATCCTCTCGCCCGCCCTGAATACCTTCTCCTCCTGCTGGAGCGGGGGGAAAGATCGCTCGAGGGCCATACCAGACTGTTTCTGGCCCTTGCTGAACTCACCAGCTATCCGGACGACACGCTCTGCACGTTCTATGAAGCCAGCCTGAACACCGCGTGCAGAGCGCCGTCGTCTGAGGATGGTCCTCGAGTGGATTTCGTCGCCTTTGTGGAGTGGATTCTGACGAGAAATGGATCGCCATTCACCATCTGCCCCGTGAATGATCTTGCCGGATCCATTCCTGACCCAGTGCCCAGCCCACCATCTCCCCGCTGCGCGGAGCGAATGCCCAAGCCCATGCTTGTCATCCCCTCCTCTAGTCCTGTGTATTTAAAGTGAGTCCTATTCAGAGTTCCGTTGTCTGGTAATTAATGTTGTCTTTCCCTGCTACGTGTGTGTTCCTGGTTCCTTTGATGTCAATTAAAGTCTCTTTGTTTGAAGTGTACTCCTCGTCTCCTCGTTCCTCGCTACGTGCTCCTCACAGTAGTGCAACGTGACATTATCATGTCGTGTGCGTTCATTTGTGCTTTTCACTTATACCACAAATAGGTGCAATAATAACAATTAACAACTTTCTTAAAACACATTTATGTGTTTTATGACTTCTAATAAAGAAAGCAATACAATGGCAACTGGCTTCTTTGTTCCTCACTTTTCAGTAGTTATACCAGTGTAAGCAGAAGTAAATACCAACATGGAAGAACTCTGCATTTAGAAAGATTCTCATGTTATTCTGATACACGTCAAATCAAAATTCCCTTCTGGTGTGTCAAGCTTGTTACACCATACAACCCTGGCAAGAGCTTCTCTGTGCCCCGGTTCAGTCTCTTATCACCTGGCACAAAGAGTTCCATAAGAGGTGTAGTTCAGATGTATTTTTTTATCATGTTAGAGGTCATGAGTGCATCATTGGTGTAATTGATGGCTGTCACATAAAGGTCCAGAGGCCAGGCAGTCATTACCTCAACAGCTATAACATGCTATACATGCTTAAAACTTTCTTTACTTTTTTAGTCTTTCACCCATAACTGGATCATTTTCAGCAGTGTGTGAGCTCTTTGTGTATCTAGAACATTGGTTTGCTGGTCAGTAATTGTAACAGATCGGCCAGGCTCCACCACTACCCAATCACAACGATCCCTCTCACCTGAATTCTGAGCACTTGCACCTGTCACCAATCTAGCACCTCATCAACCAGCCTGCATAAAAGCACACACCTCAGACACCCTCACTGTCCGGTCTTGTATACATGTAGAGGACTCAATGACTTTGCTACTACTGCCATTTGAATACTTCCTGCATTACTTACCTCCTGTGTTCCTCCTAGTGTCTCCTCGTCTCCAAGTGTCTCCTGTTCCTCCTAGTTCCCGGATCGCTGAGGTGTGTGTTCCTCCTGTGTGCATTCCAGCTCCTGTAAAGCTAAAGACTCGGATTACTCCACTCGTCATATCCTTTGAACTGGTCTATGAACTATTCACTCACCATCACATCATCTGGACCCTACACCCGTACTCTCTGTGACCAAATAAAACTGTTTTATAAATACTAACCTGTTGCGTCAGACCTCTTCCGTTACAGTAATGACTGTAATTAAACACCTTTTAAAAATACCCTATCCCATGAGTACATTTTTAGAAACCTAATAAATATAACAACACTCTACATAAGTACAAAATTCATTCAAGAAAACAATGCATACAACTTTCAAAGGATTTCTGTAATTGTTGCATGTGTTCTTCATGAAGGCCCTTGATATATTTTTTAGGAACTCAAAGAGTTTCCCCTGTTTTACCCTGAATCTTTTAGGCAATTTTGGTTTGATTAAAACAAACTGTGGTGTGATTGCTCTATTAGTGCGCTTCATTTGAATAAGTGTGAATGCTGACTTCCGAACTATGGTGCATACCAAACAAGTGGTCCGAGATCCCCTGAAAATTGTGGTTCATCTGGTGCGGTTTGAGCAATATATGAACGACACATGGACCAAAGACATCTAAATGAACCAAAAACAGGACCTGATGTCACAAGATGCGACCATAAAAAGGATAGAATGCTCAAGCATGCCTGTTTCTTTTTGTCATAGGAGCTATGTTACCCAGTACAGTTTGGTACAGTCGTCGGAACCATTGTCTTCTTGCAGCAGATTTCCATTGTTTTAGATGTTTGGTAAATTGGCAAAATATACATCATAAAAGCTGTCCAATCAGGTTGTGACTGTATCCATATGCCTTTTGTTTTGTATCTTTAGGTATGGTGTTAAAAATGACAGTGTGAACACAAAGCAAACCAGGATTAAATGTGTATATATATATATATATATATATATATATATATATTGGCCCAGACCAAACAAACCAAGAGAAATTGAAGTTTAAGTTTAGACACACTCTTATTTCTCTCCATTGTACAACTGAATAGACAACAGAAGAACAGTGACATCCATTTGGGGTCAAGAGGTCAGAGGATGAAGCACAGCTGCTGAATGCCAAGAGATGTGGAGATGGCTGAGTTGGTCCAAGGATTTGGAAAGTGGGACTTAAAACTGTTCAGTTAATTTCTGGGCTCTGACTGAGCAAAATAACATCTTCTGGCCCTGTGCCAAGATCTGGCAAGCTTTTGGGAGCTCTGCCTCATTGCTCATGATATGCTGACGCATCAGGTCAATTCAAAACTGAGTGTGATCTCTGCTGAAGACCTGATGAGAAGGCAGATTAGTGGCACTAAGGAACAGAAGATTGGCAGCTATAAGAGAACCAGGCTGGTCATCTGGGATGTGGGGCGGCTGTAAAATCTAAATAAATTCATGACTATTTTCATGTGAAATTAATATTGTGTGTTCACTTGGATAGGCATGTTCTCATCGTACATGGCTGAATCTATTTTAGATTGATATAACAATGGTGTCACTAGCCTGGTCAGATCTGGGCAATGGAATAGCTGCACTGAATCATCTATAAATGCTAAAGAAAAAAAAAAGAAAAAACATTAACAAATAATAACTTTATGCTTTCAATTCATGTTTTAATATAAAGTACCTTGTCAGTCCTCTTCCTACAGTAATCTATGGGAATCTTGGTAATTTACTGCTGACCTAAACAGACAATTGATTTGTGTTAAATAAAGAATTTGTACTAAATTCCAGTAATAATAAACCCCTGCGTGCGTCTGAACTGAAAATGAAAACATTCCTATCACTAATATGATATCTAATAAATACATACACAATTATTTCCTTATAAAATAAATTATTTGTGAAGCCAAACACTCTCGCAATGCAAATGCCATGCCACAAAACACTGGGCTTTGATCTCCTCGTAAAGCCAAACACTCAGAAACAATGGGCTTTGATCAAGATAGGAAGATCTGGAAGAAAGACCATCTGCTCTTCAGTCCCTTCACCCATCCTTCCCCCCTGGGCACATGGTCCAGGTCACTAAAAGTTGACAGAGAAATGCCAAGAACTCAAGTTGCTATGCTCACATAAAACATTTACTATATCTTCAGGATTCATGATCGTAAACTTTTCATGTTTGGTGTCATTTTAAAGGTCTTTGTGCGATTGGTAAATTGGTTTAAATTTCACAGTAGTCATTTATATTATGAGAAAGATTCAAAACCTTTGAAGATTAATGTTCTGCTGAGGAGGGGGTGTGTCCCCCTTTAGGCCTGTGGGAATGTTTATCTCCAGCCAGGTGCAAGATCTACGCAAGGCCAGCATGAGACTTAAAAGAGACATTAGGTCCCCAGTGAATGGATAATTTAAAGTATAGTGAGTCAGGAATAATCAAATATCTAAATTAATATTTGTGATCATTAAAGTTAGGCAATATTTCAAAGCAATATTTCTAATTAAAAACCGATCACGTGAAATTGGAGTCAGATTGAACACGGAGCTAGACTAAAATTTAAACTAATCCGCAAGTAAAAGACCGAATACGCATTAAACCTTAAACCAGGCCGCTGGATTCCGCTTTTTGGGTTTGGCGGGTAGATCCTTACACATAAAATAACCACAAAGGTTACCAGAGTGACAGCAAGCTAGGTCCATAATATACAAGAATGCTTATCATCCAAAATCTTACAGTCCTCCTCAAAAATATATTAAAATGATGTGCTCTAGAGATGTGCGCTCATGTGATCTCATTCTGCTGCGTGCTGTCTGCATGCCACATATATAGTAGTAATTTTGCTATATTGTTGGCCATTGATGTGCATGATCTAAATTGATTTTTACTTTTCAATTAAAAGCTGTGTAGTTCATGGAAACACACATGGTGCCACTTCTCTAATACTTTTTAGGCAGAAAACTACTACCTCAAATATACAAAATTTTGTGTTTTGTCTCAACAACACATAACTACTGCAGAACAATTTCAGCAAACCTCAATATTCACCCTGAACGCCCTGTTTCCTTAAAACTGACCACAGAGAACTTCACAAAGCCAACATCCCTGAAAGAGCTGCAACTGCAGAAACTTTAATCACAGACATCAGTTTTGGAGAGAAGAGTGAGAAGTAGACTCCCTCCAAAATCTCTGAAGCAACTGGCAGATGTTCTGATAGACAACGTTCACCTGGAAACCATTCAAAGTTGTAGGAATCTATTCTAAGAAGGCTGGAAGCTGTATTAAAGGCAAATAGTCATAAAACACCTGAATAATGAAATATTGCCTATTTCCCAAACGTTCGCATTATTTTGTCCAACCCCTATATTTTTTTATTTATATATTTGTTTACTTCATTTGGCAGGAATAATGCAGGATAACATTGTTATGTAATGCAGAAGATGCTGTGTGCATTGGCTTCTAGCTGATAGCTCATTTGCAGCCTCTGTCCCTGGCTACCCTTACCAAAAAGTAGTATACTTCAAGTTTATTTTATTAAGTATACTTAAGTAAAGTTCAAGTATATTATTCTGTACAGAAGATGTGAACAAGTGCCCTCTACCGTATAACAATGAAAACACGGATTCTAGGAGCACAATTATAGCTAAAATATATTTAGGCTTTTTCTAAGTATAAGTCAAGTATACTTAAATGTCATTTTAAGTATATTTCATACATAACATCTCCTCCCCTCTTAAATCAAGAAACAAACGCCAAGGCATTTTCAAACCCACAAACATTACGCATTTATTTATTCTGCTCTAGAGGTAGAGGGTAGACTGCCTCTTACCTCGAGCCAGTTCGGGGATTATTCTGCCCCATGTCAGAACAGGCTCACTAACATAACTAATTACAGTTCAATCCAGCAGTTTCCATAGTCCTATAATGTCAGACGGTTGGGTGGTTTAATCACTCTGGCTGGATAACGTCTGACCTGCGCTGGTGGAATGTCGAGTTTGCCATGCTTTGTCTGAGACTCTGTTAATGTGTCGCCGTTAACATCTTGTTCCTTTGTTGGTGGTGCAGATGAAGTGGCATTTACAGAGGTCTGCACCGGAACAGACACATTCTTGTTATCAGGTAATTCTGTCAACTGAGTTTCAGCTGTTTGGTTTGGAATGGACAAAAGTTGATCAGCATGACACCTCCATTCCTCAGAAGCACCTACATCCACATCTTTTTCGTAAGGGTAGGCTTATTTAAAATGTAAAAATACAGTTTTAATTTTACATTTAATATGAATCGATGTGGATGTGAGGTGGAAGTGGATTTTTTTTTTCATGGGTCTGCTGCCACAGGGATAATTTGACAGAGAGACTGTGTAAAACAGACATAATCCCATTTTAAACTCTACACAGCTTTGTCTCATTAGAGTCTGCACTTCGAGCTGCAGTGTGCTGACTTCATTAGCTAATATTGGACAGTAAAATTGGCTGTTGAAAAAGGTGAAGACATCCGGCGCTGCCAAGGAGGAGTCCAATATTAGCTAATGAAATTGAGCTAAAATGAGCTTACAACCTCACAAAATTGCTACCATTTCAAGCTAACATCCGTGCAGTGCCATAACTTTTGTTAGTCCCTCAGAGTGAGGAAATTGACGGTTAATATTAGGCCTATATCTCCTAGGGGAATTGCCGATTTGTCATTTAGCTATAGCTCTATCAATGTAAGATAAACCACATTTACATTTCCTGTGTATTACTCACTCACATATATAGACACCAGAGAGATACACTTTCATTAAGGCTTTGCAAGGTGACAACTGTATGGAGATCAGATAAAAAGAGCAATTGAGGTTTGCTTGTGTATGTTTTTTTTTTACATATATACCTTGATTCTTTGATCAAGGTTGCTGTCTCCTTCATCAGCATAGCAAACGCATGCCTTGTGTATTCAATGAGCTAGTGTCTCGATCACGCAACTCCAAGTGTGCATTGTGCAAGTCGTGCTAACATAGACTAAGCTTCGATTTGTGTATGTAAAGGGAGGGAGAATGTGAAAACGTCTGAAACGTTAATATTGCTGTAATCTGATATAGATTTCACTTGGGGCGAAGGCATTCATCACGCAGGGAGAGAATGACTAATGAAGGATTTATGATATGTGGCGTATGTCAGTAGACACTTATTACAAGTCTAGAGGTTGATATGCGCCAGTGTTTGCGTGTGCACATTTGAGCATGACTCTGTGTGTTAGTACATCTGTGAAGTTTGTTATGATTGCCTAAAAGTTTATGTTTGGATAGGGACATTAAAGGGTCTGCAGTGTCTTTAGAAGATTGTGCAATTTTTCAAAGAGTAAACAGACCTGTCAAACTATGTGGGAAACTGTAAAAATATTAGAATAGTCTTTTTAAAAAATCAGCTATGTATGTTGTTTAAAGCATAAAAATAGCTCAAGCCTGCAACTCTGTCTGCAAATTATGGCCTGTCATAATGTCATGAATGACATTCAGTAGTACTACATTTGTGCAAAACTACAGTCTACTTTAGTAAGTGTTGACAGGGTCTCTATGCAAGGTTTTAAGTTCATAGCTTTTAGCTGTGAGGCCACAATAATTTCAGTCTAATAAGACTGAATCTCTTTGACTTGTGAATATTTAAACTCACAATATTGGTACGTCATAATTTGAATTAGTGAACGTAACTATGATTTTATACTCGCATGCAATGTGACAATTTATTCTTGATTCAACACAATGGAGGACTTGTAGTTATTTTTGCACTGACTGGCACAAAATGAAAAAAGAACAAAAGGTGATGAAAAAAATAAAACACAAGTTATTTATAAGTCAAGTCAAGTCAAGTCACCTTTATTTATATAGCGCTTTTAACAATACAGATTGTGTCAAAAAACAAATAGAAACATAATTAGCGTAGCTGCTGTTCCAACCAAGCAAAATTGATTATATAAGACATCTGTGTTGTTTATTTTTTTGGTTCTGCATTGGTTTCTGTTTTGCATTCTCATTGCTCATTGCTGCTCTTTGCTAGGAAGGACAATGTGCACATTTGACAACTGATTGGCCAGATATTTTATAAAAAGTTTGAATTATGCCATAACATCTGCAAACTGGTCAGTTTGGTTACCTGGGACTTACTTAGTTCACCTAAAAATGTTAGTTCATCTGAAAGTCCATAAAACCAAAACTCTGATGCTTCAAAACGTAATCCATATTAATTGAGCAGTTTAATGCAAGTCTTCTGAAAAACACAACTGCTTTATATGATGAACAGATTAAATGTATGCTTTTATTCACATTTAAACATTGATTAATGCACATGCTTAGAGTACATCAGACATGGTAAACAAGCCCAAATGTGCTTGATTGATGCAAATCTGTTCATTACGTAAACAGTTGTGTCTCTTCAGAAAACTTGGATTAAACCACGGAATTCATACA